AGGGATGAGGTGTGAGATGAGTAAGAAGAGAGAAAGATCAGACTGGCAGCAGCATTACCAGTTGTAACGGGACAGTACGGCTTCTGAGGAGACAAAATAGGAGAGAATTGAAGCAATCAATGCAAGAAATTACTACAGCAAGAACAAATTGCTTGGAATGTTTTTGAGGTGGAATAGACAGGCTTAGCAACGGACTGGATGGGAGGCCCAAAGGTGAGGCCAGAAGAAAAGATAATACAAAGACAGCAAGCTTGCAAGGGTGTACTGATAAAAGTACCATAATCTTGCAGGAAAGGCAAAAGAGGATATACCCTAATGCTTACTGTATTAGTATCACCATAATACTTATTGACCCTTATGATAATAATATTCCATATTAATTAAGAATGATCGATTGATCACTATTGAGCAAATCAAACTTTTAGAGATAGTTAAGAGGGCGCCGGTACACAGAAAATGAAAATGTCAATAACCACAAAACACAGCACCAGAATGACTCATGCATACCATCAGGAGAATATTATGAGAACGTAGCTAGCTTTTAGATAAGAAATATTTAACCACACAGATCTGGCATGGCATTGTTGGTGGGGCTGGACAGACTGACCAGCTGCAGGTCCCATCCAACGCTTTTGCAATGTCTTTGCTGGGCTGCACTGATAAGGAGATTTGGTGGAAAAGTACAGACTATCCATCCCATTGATGTATAACTTATAAAAGACGAGAAAACTTGGCACTCATTGGAGTACTATCCACCTGTAATACGGATGTGTATTGCTGGTTCTGCTGATTCCCAGTAAGATAGGGTCCTCTTCAAGCCTGACTGACAGAAGTTCTATTAGTCGAGTGCAGCAAGCTTCTCTTATGATGGTGTATACTTAAGCTGTTTCCTTAAGCTGTTATTACTTATTGATTAAATCTCTGTTAATCAATAAAGTTTGTATTGATTATTTACAAGTACTTAGTGTCAGTGTCTTTCCCTTTTCAAATACTCAATTCAGTCATCCCAAATAGGGTTTTGGTGCCCACCAATCTCTTTAAAAACCTTAGGGTAATTGAGTATTGCTTTTTGGTGCTTCATGAATTTAATGATTAGGCACAACGATCCTTCATTAAATTTACAATATACATTGTCTCAAGCTCTCTATGATCTCTGGGTTTATATTTGATAATGCCTCAGTCATTAAAAGTACCCAACCATAGAAACAAATATCCAACAGAAAGAAAATATATATTTTATACACCTCAATTGCTGTATATTGCTGGGTATTGCAAAGGTCACCAACACTATTTAACCAACCACTTCCCAGAGCCAGTATACCTCATAAGTGTATCATGACAGTACTTGTTCTTCTCCCTCTTGTGTGCCTCTCAATTGAGATTCAGCAGTTTGCATTTTTTGATTGCAGGTCTCCCCCAAATACCTCCATATCCACACCACCTCTGTGATCCCATTTTTCCTCCCTACTCTTTGCCATCCTAGTCCAACACAACACACATCAACCTCTATCGATGACTCATTTACTCAACAATCACTACCCAAATTTGTAAAATGATTAAAAATAAAAAGATGTCTGTGAAACTGTATACCTATAAATGTGTGTGTATATAAAAAGTGCTAAATGTGATTTGTGACCCTCTGCTATAAATCATTAAAATGCTGATTACTGTATTCGCGCCTCAATTTCTTTTGTAAATTCTTTATTTTAGTAGTTTAAGTCTTTTTCAAGACAGTTGGGGTACAGAAAGGAGATAAGGGGTGGGGTAACAATCATCTCAGTTACATTGAGGTGCAACATTATAACACGATGTAGTGCAAAGTTATTACAGCAAGTATTCGTTTGGTGGTGCTAAGTCCTAAGTGGTCTGTCTTTCTAATCTTGTCGTCTCATTTTGAGAGGGTCATGTGGGTGTGGTGTTCCGTGTTCTAGTGTTTGGGGTTGTGGTGTCTCTCCTGGTGTTGTTGTCAGCTCAGTTGTGTGTACTTCGGTGTCGAGGGGTTATTTGGTTATTGGTGTTGTGTGTGTGTGTGTATATTTCGTGGAGTGGGGATATCTTGGAGGGGGTTTTCATTTTTCAATTGTACTAAAAATATTGTCAGCGCTTAGCGGATACTCCCCTTAAGATAATAACAGGGGTGCAAATATGTTAAAATAGTATTGCAATATACATCTAGGCTCCACATATAAAAACTATAAAAAGAAAAAAAGATGCAGATAAAAATATGTATATAAATATAAAAATATATAAAAGTAGAGAAAAATGTCTCTAAAAAGTCCAAAAAGTCTTATAAGATCAAAACAGAGAGGGGGCAAAATCCAATGTCTGAATAGATGAATGGAGATTCAAATAGATGCTTGAAAATTCCTAGGCAAAAACGGAGAAAACAAATATAGTGTAACTCTGTAACATTTATTATCCCGGTTTAACAAACAAAACCCCCCCTAAATAAGAACTCTCACAATGTTAAAAAATATATATAGCAGTGGTACTTATTCCTAAGGACCAGAACGAAGAAACTTCACAGCTGCTGGTTGTCCCGACAAACTGTCTTTATCTTCAAGGCAGACAGCGTCCACCTCGTGCACTCAGGTGGGCTGTCCGAAAATAAAACCGTAAGGAAACAGCTGCACATAGATGAAATGATGTTTTCTTCAAAGTCCGTCTACAGGGGATATGTAGCAAAAAACCCCTTGCACCTCATCAACGCGTTTCGTCCTGCTGCTGAGGACTTTTTCAAGATAGGTGCTAAATCCATTGCTGGCGGTTTTATACCTTAGCGGGCAAAACGGATTCAAATTCTTTAAAGACATATACTCACAATTTCAGCAAATGTATTATATTAACCCCCTCACCTTCGTTCAACATATAAAATATAAAATATAAAATTACAGGACTATATCCAAGTGTACAAAAAGCAATTTCTTGATGAAACATAAATTAAAACAAACAATGTTAAAAGAATAGCATGAAAATATAAAAATATTAAGACAACATCTACTTGGCACAAGTCTTATAAGGTACATTATTCAGTAACCCGAAAATGACTATACTAAGCCTTTACACTGCTTTTTCCAATGTAACAACTTGTAGCCTAGAGGTTATCAAATATATTGTATCAAACAATGTCCAAGTTCCCAACTAATGTAACAAATAATGACTCTAATGAAAAGGTAAAAATATACATTCTAATGTAGCATGGGGAAATATATAATGAAAATAAATTTGATTTTTGTTATCTGTAAAAATACAATTTCTATGTGGTGTACTAATAGTATCTTTAGTATACCACAGTACAGACTAATTTTATTTGTACATACAGCTAAAAATCCATATATAAAATCTAACAGCTCTAACTCTATAAAATGTTGGCTAACTCTAATTCTGCATTCAGACCTAGAGGGATGAGTGTTTTCAGGCTATATATCCAGAACATCTCCCTATACGTTAGGGCTTTACTCAGTTCCCCTCCTCTCCACGGTACTTGTACTTTTTGAATCCCACAATATTTTAAGAGTGTCGGATCACTGTTGTGGTGTATTTTAAAATGACTGGATAGGGAATGTTTTTCAAAGCCTCTTTTGATATTGTATACGTGCTCCCTGAGTCTGACTTTTAATGTCCTCTTGGTTTGACCCACATATTGGAGGCCACACGGGCACTCCAACAAGTAGATAACTTGCTTTGTATTGCACGTGATACAGTCTTTAATATCAAATGTTTCCTTTGTAACTGAAGACTGAAAAGTTGTGCAGTTTTTTTCCTTTAGAGCTTAATTTACATATATTGCAGTTTCCACACTTATAGTATCCCTTCTTTCCAGTTAAAAAGTGGTTGCCCTTCATTGGTTTAATATAACTATGCACCAATTTGTCTCGTAGAGTAGGTGCTCCCCTAAATATCACCTTTGGTTGTGTGGGTAAGAATGAAGCCAATATCGGGTCTTGACGTAATAAATGCCAGTGTTTCTGTACACTCCTCTTTAGACCATTTGCTTGCGCACTATAGTTAAAAACCAAAGGACATATGTCCCCAATGCCCTTATTAGGTATAATTTTGTTCAAAAGTGTTGTGCGTTCTACAGTTTTTACTTTTTGGAGAGCTGTATCTAGTAGTTCTTCATCGTAGCTTTTTTCTGTGAACTGCTGTTTTACCTTCTGGAGTTGTACATCACATATCTCGGGGTCTGTGCAATTCTTTTTAACTCTTAGGAATTGACTAAACGGGACACCTGATAGCCACGAAGGATAATGGCAACTGGAAGTCCATATGTAGCTATTTACATCCACACTTTTAAAAAAGGTTTTAGATTTTAAGATTTTTTGGTCCGTATATAGGACCAAATCTAAAAAATCTATGTTGGTAGAGCTATATTTGTACGTGAAGGATAGATTATATTCATTCTGGTTTATGTAAGCTAAAAACTCCAAGAGGTCTATTTCTTTTCCTCTCCACACAAAAAAACAGTCATCGATGTACCGTCTATAGAAGACCAGGTTCGCCCCCCACTTGTGGCCTTGCCAAATAGACAGATTTTCCCAATAAGCCATAAAAATATTGGCATAACTGGGAGCGAACCTGGTCCCCATAGCGCTACCATTAGTTTGTAGATATATGTCGTCCTCATACCAGAAGAAATTGTTCCTGAGTATAAAATCTATACATTCTATCATGAATTCCACCTGTTCTACTAACATGGTGGAATCCTCATATAAGATTTGTCTTACTGCCTTTATTCCCAAATCGTGTTTGATAACAGTATATAGTGACGTGACATCACAAGTTACCATCAGATAGTCTTCCTCCCATTTGAGACCTTCTATATTTTTTAATAGGTCTCCACTGTCCTTTAAATAGGACTTGGCTTTTTTTACAAAAGGTTGTAATATTACATCTATATATTGAGATAGATTGCATGTTAGAGACCCTATTCCAGAAATGATGGGCCTACCCGGGGGGTTCGTGAGACTCTTATGTATTTTAGGTAATTGATAAAATACTGGTTTCTTAGGATATATCTCCATAACAAACTCTAGTTCTTTCTTGTTCAATATATTTAGAAATCTACCTTTCTGTAGTATGGTAAATAAGCGTTTTTTGGTGTCCGATGTGGGATCTGTCTTTATTCGCTCGTAGGTGAGTTGATCATTGAGGATTCTTTTACATTCTATATCGTAATCCTTTGAGTTAAGGACCACAATTCCCCCTCCCTTATCGGCCGGTTTTATTGTGATGTCCCTATTTTCACTTAATTCTTTTAATGCTTTCTTTTCCCATACATTCAAATTTTGTTTGTGTTTAGCCACTTTTTTCGGTAGCTTATCTATATCAGCCGTTACTGCTAAATTAAAAGCGGACATGGGGCCGCTCATCTGGTTGGTGGGACAGAAAGTGGATTTGTTTCTTAAAGTTGTATGGTGAAAAGTAGTATGTTCTATATTGGGTATCATAGAACTCGAATTACTCAAAAAGAATTTCTTTAGAGTCAAATTTCTCATGTACTTTTGCACGTCTAGATATGCTGTAAATGGGTCTGCTTTAACTGTGGGGGCATACTTTAGACCTCTATTTAACACCTTTATTTGATGTTTAGTAAGTATGGCGCTAGATAGATTGAAAATTCCTATTTGTTCTACCTTTTCATTTTCTTTTCTCTTGTGATATCTCTTGCCCCCCCCTACATCCTCTAAAAAAGGTCTCTTTCTTATGTTGATTTGTGGGGGCTCTCGATAGTTCTGATCGAAATATTGGCTTCTTGGTCCTAAAAAATGATCATTTGATTGTGTATAATTTTCTTTTGCCCCTACTCGGTCAGTCTCTTCTGTATGGAGTAAGTCAAACTTATTATATGAACGCCAATTTTTTGCTTGATTGCTTGCCCTAGGTGTTTCTGAGTCATATTTCCCTTGGGGTCTGTAAGGATTTTTTCTGTACAAGTTATTTCTTTTCTTGTGAGTGACCGTAGTCCACTCACTACTATTCACTCTCTGAGGTGTATATTGTTTTGGTTGTAGTTCTCCTCGCCTGATATAATTATGCTCTAAAGAATTTTCAGGAGCATATGTAATTTTATGGTTTCTTAAATTTCTGGGGGCATTGTACTTTTTGCCCCTAGGACTAGATTTATAAGATCTCTCATTTTGATTTCTCTTATAGCTTCTGACTTTATTCTCTCTAAAGTCCTCCTGGTCTCTATCAAATTTACGTTTCTTTGTGGACACAGTCTCCTCGAATAACGAACTTAATTTTTTCTCTATTTTTTCCATAAGTTGTATACATTCTGGCAGTGCCAGGTGAGGAGAAAGAATTTCTTTTATTTCATTGATTTCCTCATCCAGCACTGCCAACATTCGTTTCCGTTTACATATGATATGGTTCATAAGTTCAAAGGAGCAGTGGTCTAAGATTCTATCCCAAACAGTATTAAAATCCTCATCATCTTTATCTGTGGCTGATTTTAACATGATACGTAAACCTCTCGGGATAATACGTTTCTCCCAATATTTCTCCAACGACGCTATTTCTAATTTAAGTTTCATTTCTTTGACTATTAATTTTTCAAGAGAAAATACTTGTTTTCTCCAATGTGTATCTTTAACACAAACATGCTCATTGTCATCATTTTTTAAAACAAGATCAATCTTACACTGTTCTCTAAACGTGAAGTTGTGATTGCTGCTACTTTTATGTGGGAAAAAGCCAATACAATAAATAAAATAATTAAGAGAGCGCATACAAAATCAAAGCTAGAAGTAATAATAAATGGTACTTGAAGTACCCTGTGAATAACAGCTGCTAGACAAAAAAAAGAATTTCCCAATTCCTATAACAGAGTACTAAAAATATTGTCAGCGCTTAGTGAATACTCCCCTTAAGATAATAACAAGGGTGCAAATATGTTAAAATAGTATTGCAATATACATCTAGACTCCACATATAAAAACTATAAAAAGAAGAAAAGATGCAGATGAAAATATGTATATAAATATAAAAATATATAAATATATAAGAGTAGAGAAAAATGTCTCTAGAAAGTCCAAAAAATCTTATAAGATCAAAACAGAGAGGGGGCAAAATCCAATGTCTGAATAGATGAATGGAGACTCAAATCGATGCTTGAAAATTCCTAGGCAAAAACGGAGAAAACAAATATAGTGTATCTCTGTAACATTTATTTTAGGTTTAACAAACAAACCCCCCCTAAATAAGAACTCTCACAATGTTAAAAAATATATATAACAGTGGTACTTATTCCTAAGGACCAGAACGAAGAAACTTCACGGCTGCTGGTTGTCCCGACAAACTGTCTTTATCTTCAAGGCAGACAGCGTCCACCTCGTGCACTCAGGTGGGCTGTCCGAAAATAAAACCGTAAGGAAACAGCTGCACATAGATGAAATGATGTTTTCTTCAAAGTCCGTCTACAGAGGATATATAGCAAAAAAACCCTTGCACCTCATCAACGCGTTTCGTCCTGCTGCTGAGGACTTTTTCAAGATAGGTGCTAAATCCATTGCTGGCGGTTTTATACCTTAGCGGGCAAAACGGATTCAAATTCTTTAAAGACATATACTCACAATTTCAGCAAATGTATTATATTAACCCCCTCACCTTCGTTCAACATATAAAATATAAAATATAAAATTACAGGACTATATCCAAGTGTACAAAAAGCAATTTCTTGATGACACATAAATTAAAACAAACAATGTTAAAAGAATAGCATGAAAATATAAAAATATTAAGACAACATCTACTTGGCACAAGTCTTATAAGGTACATTATTCAGTAACCCGAAAATGACTATACTAAGCCTTTACACTGCTTTTTCCATAAAGGGAATCAACACAGTAAAGGAGGAGACTATATTTAAAAGAAGAAATGTACCACAACAAGAGGACATAGTCTTAAATTAGAGGGACAAAGGTTTAAAAATAATATCAGGAATATTACTTTACTGAGAGGGTAGTGGATGCATGGAATAGCCTTCCAGCTGTAAAAATAGAGGTTAACACAGGTGTACTAATTAGTATCTTTAGTATATAGGCAGTAAGACTAATTCCTAACTATAAGATAAGGCTAGGGACTAATGAAAGTTTTTAGAAAATTGGGCAGACTAGATGGGCCGAATGGTTCTTATCTGCCGTCACACTCTATGTTTCTATGTTTCTATGTTTCTATCATTTCATCTATGTGCAGCTGTTTCCTTACGGTTTTATTTTCGGACAGCCCACCTGAGTGCACGAGGTGGACGCTGTCTGCCTTGAAGATAAAGACAGTTTGTCGGGACAACCAGCAGCCGTGAAGTTTCTTCGTTCTGGTCCTTAGGAATAAGTACCACTGCTATATATATTTTTTAACATTGTGAGAGTTCTTATTTAGGGGGGGTTTTGTTTGTTAAACCGGGATAATAAATGTTACAGAGTTACACTATATTTGTTTTCTCCGTTTTTGCCTAGGAATTTTCAAGCATCTATTTGAATCTCCATTCATCTATTCAGACATTGGATTTTGCCCCCTCTCTGTTTTGATCTTATAAGACTTTTTGGACTTTTTAGAGACATTTTTCTCTACTTTTATATATTTTTATATTTATATACATATTTTTATCTGCATCTTTTTTTCTTTTTATAGTTTTTATATGTGGAGCCTAGATGTATATTGCAATACTATTTTAACATATTTGCACCCCTGTTATTATCTTAAAGGGAGTATCCACTAAGCGCTGACAATATTTTTAGTACTCTGTTATAGGAATTGGGAAATTCTTTTTTTTGTCTAGTAGCTGTCATTCACAGGGTACTTTAAGTACCATTTATTATTACTTTTAGCTTTGATTTTGTATGCGCTCTCTTAATTATTTTATTTATTGTATTGGCTTTTTCCCACATAAGAGTAGCAGCAATTACAACTTAAGATGTCTCTCTTCACGTTTAGAGAACAGTGTAAGATTGATCTTGTTTTAAAAAAATGATGACAATGAGCATGTTTGTGTTAAAGATACACATTGGAGAAAACAAGTATTTTCTCTTGAAAAATTAATAGTCAAAGAAATGAAACTTAAATTAGAAATAGCGTCGTTGGAGAAATATTGGGAGAAACGTATTATCCCGAGAGGTTTACGTATCATGTTAAAATCGGCCACAGATAAAGATGATGAGGATTTTAATACTGTTTGGGATAGAATCTTAGACCACTGCTCCTTTGAACTTATGAACCATATCATATGTAAACGGAAACGAATGTTGGCAGTGCTGGATGAGGAAATCAATGAAATAAAAGAAATTCTTTCTCCTCACCTGGCACTGCCAGAATGTATACAACTTATGGAAAAAATAGAGAAAAAATTAAGTTCGTTATTCGAGGAGACTGTGTCCACAAAGAAACGTAAATTTGATAGAGACCAGGAGGACTTTAGAGAGAATAAAGTCAGAAGCTATAAGAGAAATCAAAATGAGAGATCTTATAAATCTAGTCCTAGGGGCAAAAAGTACAATGCCCCCAGAAATTTAAGAAACCATAAAATTACATATGCTCCTGAAAATTCTTTAGAGCATAATTATATCAGGCGAGGAGAACTACAACCAAAACAATATACACCTCAGAGAGTGAATAGTAGTGAGTGGACTACGGTCACTCACAAGAAAAGAAATAACTTGTACAGAAAAAATCCTTACAGACCCCAAGGGAAATATGACTCAGAAACACCTAGGGCAAGCAATCAAGCAAAAAATTGGCGTTCATATAATAAGTTTGACTTACTCCATACAGAAGAGACTGACCGAGTAGGGGCAAAAGAAAATTATACACAATCAAATGATCATTTTTTAGGACCAAGAAGCCAATATTTCGATCAGAACTATCGAGAGCCCCCACAAATCAACATAAGAAAGAGACCTTTTTTAGAGGATGTAGGGGGGGGCAAGAGATATCACAAGAGAAAAGAAAATGAAAAGGTAGAACAAATAGGAATTTTCAATCTATCTAGCGCCATACTTACTAAACATCAAATAAAGGTGTTAAATAGAGGTCTAAAGTATGCCCCCACAGTTAAAGCAGACCCATTTACAGCATATCTAGACGTGCAAAAGTACATGAGAAATTTGACTCTAAAGAAATTCTTTTTGAGTAATTCGAGTTCTATGATACCCAATATAGAACATACTACTTTTCACCATACAACTTTAAGAAACAAATCCACTTTCTGTCCCACCAACCAGATGAGCGGCCCCATGTCCGCTTTTAATTTAGCAGTAACGGCTGATATAGATAAGCTACCGAAAAAAGTGGCTAAACACAAACAAAATTTGAATGTATGGGAAAAGAAAGCATTAAAAGAATTAAGTGAAAATAGGGACATCACAATAAAACCGGCCGATAAGGGAGGGGGAATTGTGGTCCTTAACTCAAAGGATTACGATATAGAATGTAAAAGAATCCTCAATGATCAACTCACCTACGAGCGAATAAAGACAGATCCCACATCGGACACCAAAAAACGCTTATTTACCATACTACAGAAAGGTAGATTTCTAAATATATTGAACAAGAAAGAACTAGAGTTTGTTATGGAGATATATCCTAAGAAACCAGTATTTTATCAATTACCTAAAATACATAAGAGTCTCACGAACCCCCCGGGTAGGCCCATCATTTCTGGAATAGGGTCTCTAACATGCAATCTATCTCAATATATAGATGTAATATTACAACCTTTTGTAAAAAAAGCCAAGTCCTATTTAAAGGACAGTGGAGACCTATTAAAAAATATAGAAGGTCTCAAATGGGAGGAAGACTATCTGATGGTAACTTGTGATGTCACGTCACTATATACTGTTATCAAACACGATTTGGGAATAAAGGCAGTAAGACAAATCTTATATGAGGATTCCACCATGTTAGTAGAACAGGTGGAATTCATGATAGAATGTATAGATTTTATACTCAGGAACAATTTCTTCTGGTATGAGGACGACATATATCTACAAACTAATGGTAGCGCTATGGGGACCAGGTTCGCTCCCAGTTATGCCAATATTTTTATGGCTTATTGGGAAAATCTGTCTATTTGGCAAGGCCACAAGTGGGGGGCGAACCTGGTCTTCTATAGACGGTACATCGATGACTGTTTTTTTGTGTGGAGAGGAAAAGAAATAGACCTCTTGGAGTTTTTAGCTTACATAAACCAGAATGAATATAATCTATCCTTCACGTACAAATATAGCTCTACCAACATAGATTTTTTAGATTTGGTCCTATATACGGACCAAAAAATCTTAAAATCTAAAACCTTTTTTAAAAGTGTGGATGTAAATAGCTACATATGGACTTCCAGTTGCCATTATCCTTCGTGGCTATCAGGTGTCCCGTTTAGTCAATTCCTAAGAGTTAAAAAGAATTGCACAGACCCCGAGATATGTGATGTACAACTCCAGAAGGTAAAACAGCAGTTCACAGAAAAAAGCTACGATGAAGAACTACTAGATACAGCTCTCCAAAAAGTAAAAACTGTAGAACGCACAACACTTTTGAACAAAAT